AGTAAATGTGTTAGTAGTATTATAGTAGTGTTATTAATAAATGTGTTAGTAGCATTATAGTAGTGTTATAAGGAAATGTGTTAATAGTAATATAGTAGTTTTATTAGTAAATGTGTTAGTAGCATTATAGTAGTGTTGTAAATGTGTTAATAGTATTATAGTAGTTTTATTAGTAAACGTGTCAGTAGTATTATTGTAGTGGTATTCGTTAATGTGATAGACGTATTATAGTAGTGTTATAAGGAAATGTGTTAGTAGTATTATAGTAGTGTTATTAATAAATGTGTTAGTAGCATTATTGTAGTGTTGTAAATGTGTTAGTAGTATTATAGTAGTGTTATTAATAAATGTGTTAGTAGCATTATTGTAGTGTTATTAATAAATGTGTTAGTAGCATTATTGTAGTGTTATTAATAAATGTGTTAGTAGCATTATAGTAGTGTTATTAATAAATGTGTTAGTAGCATTATTGTAGTGTTATTAATAAATGTGTTAGTAGCATTATTGTAGTGTTATTAATAAATGTGTTAGTAGCATTATTGTAGTGTTATTAATAAATGTGTTAGTAGCATTATTGTAGTGTTATTAATAAATGTGTTAGTAGCATTATTGTAGTGTTATTAATAAATGTGTTAGTAGCATTATTGTAGTGTTATTAATAAATGTGTTAGTAGCATTATTGTAGTGTTATTAATAAATGTGTTAGAAGCATTATAGTACTGTTATAAGGAAATGTGTTAGTAGTAATATAGTAGTTTTATTAGTAAATGTGTTAGTAGCATTATAGTAGTGTTGGAAATGTGTTAATAGTATTATAGTAGTTTTATTAGTAAACGTGTCAGTAGTATTATTGTAGTGGTATTCGTTAATGTGATAGACGTATTATAGTAGTGTTATAAGGAAATATGTTAGTAGTATTATAGTAGTGTTATTGATAAATGTGTTAGTAGCATTATTGTAGTGTTATTAATAAATGTGTTAGAAGCATTATAGTACTGTTATAAGGAAATGTGTTAGTAGTAATATAGTAGTTTTATTAGTAAATGTGTTAGTAGCATTATAGTAGTGTTGTAAATGTGTTAATAGCATTATAGTAGTTTTATTAGTAAACGTGTCAGTAGTATTATTGTAGTGGTATTCGTTAATGTGTTAGACGTATTATTGTAGTGTTATAAGTAAGTGTGTTAGTAGTATTATAGTAGTGTTATTAGTAAACGTGTCAGTAGTATTATTGTAGTGTTATTCGTTAATGTGTTAGAAGTATTATAGTAGTGTTATAAGTAAATCTGTTAGTAGTATTATTGTTGTGTTATTCGTAAATGTGTCAGTAGTATTATGGTAGTGTTATGAGTAAATGTATCAGTAGTATAATAGTAGTATTATTAGTAAGTGTGTTAGCAGTATTATAGTAGTTTTATTAGTTAACGTGTCAGTAGTATTATTGTAGTGTTATTCGTAAATGCGTGATAATTAGTATTGTAGTGTTATAAGTAAATGTGTTAGTAGTATTTTAGTATTGTTATAAGTAATTTGTGAGAGGTATTATTGTAGTGTAATAAGTAAATGTGTTAGTAGTATTATAGGTAGCAGTGTACAGTAGCGTACGGTGACCATGGGTGATATTTTTATACAATGAATAACCCCTGTACAACATGTATCAAAAATAAATCAGCACTAAAATTGCCATATTCATGATGAAGTGGACTATGTGGGCTTCATAATTTTCAAAAAAAAATCGAATTTGGTTTGAGACTACAGTTTTGGGCATTTATAAATCTGTGTCTACACAACAAAAGCTAGCTTTTCATGTAGTCTATTTTTGTACTTGGCACATGTATAAATGTTGTGAAAAATCCACCGGAATGACCTATGCTAGAACGTGAGTATTTCTGTTACCGAGTAGGCGATATTTAATTTCAGACAGGTTTTAAGAAAAAAAATCTACTTGCGGGGGTCAAATTTTGGGTTAAAAATCATTTTTTTTTGCATATTTTGGTGTTTTTGGATGTGGTAACCATGGTTTTCAATAGTCCCAAATCTGGGGAAATCACTTTTTGAAAAAAAAAAATCATTCTTCTAAAAAATCCGGATTCAAAATGTAGTTTATAAATATATATATGTAGGTGTGTTGTGCAGGATAAATTCGCTATCAATGTTTATCCGAGACCTGCCCTTTATTTCTAGGGTCAAGCCATTTCTACTGTACTCTGCTACCATAGTATTGTTATTAGTAAATGTGTTATAAGTGTTTTAAGTAAATGTGAAAATAGTATTATTGAAGTGTTATTAGAAAACCTATTCGGAGTATTTGAGTATTGTAATAAGAAAATGTGTATGTAATATCATGTTAGTATTATAAGTAAATGAGGAAGTTGTACTATAGAAGCGTGATAGCGGTAAATCAGTTATCAGTACTAATGTTATTATGAAATGTGTTTGCAGTATTACAGTAATATTAATATTCATACTGCTAAATCAATAGTATCGTCGGTGAAAAAATAAATATAAACATTTGTAAAACTGGGTTTCTTACTTATATTAATCACTCTTGATGGCCCGGATGGAATCGTGCATGGGGTCTTAATGTGAGAGAAAACGCATCTGGTCGAGTGTGTGGCCCAAAACCTTTTCCCGTTCGATCGGGGAATCGAACCCTGGCTACCTTGGTGAAATGCATATCCAAGCAATCCCTAAACATGTATTGAAACATAAAAAATGGGAATCGTTGTCTTTGAAACTCTTTATAACCTTAAAAACGTTAGAATGTACAATTTATTACTACAACAGTTATTGACAAAACAAATGGGCATGTAAAACGTACCAGGAAGTGTTCGTTCAACAAGTTCAAAGCCTACGTTGGAGAGTGATATTCCAATAGAAGTTTCAACCTCCTTGTTATGTCAAATTACATCTTGAAATACGTATCAAGTGATTTTTTTTGTGTTGAAATGTTAATAAAATTGCAACTCGAAATTCGAAAAAGGTACAAGAGAAAGGTTCCGGAAGGGCAAGCGTCTTCTGCTTTATCGACGATACCCGCCATTTGTAAATCTAGGTGAAAGCCAAGTAATGTCACGTCCTCAAAGCGCGATCCTGGCCAATGACAACGAAACGATAATGCACTCCAATGAGCACAATCAAAAGCATCGACCTTCTGATCGGACCATGAAATAGAATCATGATAGCGACAGTAAAACTTGTCACAAATAGTGTTCATAAACCTGCATCTCTCGAAAACGTTTTACACATTTGACATCTTTCACGGCAATCGTGAAAACGTGATAATCGGAGGATACCCTTGAATACCGAATCAACTGCAACATGTAAAGAATGTAGGTGGGAGAACAGGCATGCTACTGTCAAGGAAGGGAAAGATTTTAATAGGAAAAGTGAAACCGCCATTCCTATCGTGAAGGTTAGTAAGACGTCGTTCCAATGTCCTTGATTTCACCTTCAAACTGTTATATAGGATCGAATTGGTGAACATCTAGTTTTTTTTCAAAACAACATCTGTTTATAAAGGATTATATTTTTCATAACAGAATGTCACAAATCTTACAAGGAAATGATAGAGAACGAATGCATTTTTCTGTTAAGTGTGAGATTTGGTACACCATTGAGAGAGACAAGCAAATATTCTGAAAAATGTGTCAATCCGTCCCCTTAACACTGTCTGGATAGTAGGACAACAGCTGTATGAGTAATGGTAGGATGGTGGAACAACCAGACTTATGGATCCACCAGTAACGATCCTCACCATTCTCCTGGCCCCTCATGTAGCCGATAATGCATGGGATGTAAAACAGTGTGGCTAACGTCAGGCTGCCTACGTAAGATGCTTCATGAAGCCTTCACTGGCTATTGGTATGGTTGTAAGGCAGTTGATTTGTCTTACCAATTGTTCATAAACGTTTTAAGTGAAAGTGTCCCTTTCCTAATAAAAAAAACCCAACAAAAAGTGGTTCAGTTTTTGTCAGTGTTGCTATATTTATGATTTACATCTTACCTTGTTGCATTTGTTTTCGTTGTTTAGCAATCATTTTTGTTGCCATATTGATGTGTGATGATTAAGAATCAAACGTGACACACGTATAGAGGATTGCACGTTTAACATTAGTATATAGATACAGTATGCTAATAATGAATTACATTGCATTCTCAAGCTGTTGCGCCCTTATAGGACTCATTGTGCCCTACCGAACATTTCTATAATGGCAGTACCTGTTAATAGTGCTACTACATTGAAGAGTTTTCGTAAAACCAAAAGTCCATAATACTGGCGTAATTATCATTCCTTTATTACGTCACAAATCAATCATAAACCATATATATGACAATGGTACCACTGTTAAGCCGTGTTTTAAGGTCCAACTGGAGTAACCAAGATAGAGAATTTCTTTTGAATCGGCCTACTTATGTCCATGTGTCTGTAAAAAACCGTTTGTCTTTTTTGTAGGCTACGTTTGTTTAAATTTTGTCTGTTGTATTGCTGTTTCAACGATCGAAATGAGCTATTCGTAATACAGGGTGATAGCTGTAAACACATTATTTCATAATTTGAATATCGATCTATATGATTTTCTATAAAATTTTATTCTCGAACCAAAGAAATCTTCTTTCTTTTTTACAAATGTGAAGCTCACATAGCCCACTTCATCATGCTTATTAGTAATTAATTTTAGTACAGTTTTATTTTTATATTTTTTTTACATATCATTATACAGGGGTTAGCCATTTAACAAAAATATCACCCATGGCCACAACCCTCTACTGTACACTGCTACTATACTGGTTAGGGCGTGGTTGTGGGTGCTCTTTTTGTTGTGGTCGAGGTTGGTCTTTTTGTTGTGGTCGAGGATGGTGATCCATCCGTGAACCATGATGGACTATAAGACGTTGGTAATGTTGGGAATGTCGAGATCGGTGGCGGTTTTGGACGGAGCAAGGGAATTAATTCGTGTTGAATCGATCGGTAGCTTGTTCCCCGCATTGAGACATCAGAGGAGCGTTGTATGTTGGGAAATGGATTTGGAGGATTTGGAGGCAAAGCAGAAAGCCCTGTAAAAACAGAAAGCGATAATTTTTATTAGGGCGTTCACTGACAAGTTTTATGAGCATAAGAAGTTGGATTAAAACGTTGGACCTGTTCGTTTATGAGGCGCAACCGGTTTGTATGCTTTTAAATGTCTCAGTTTCGGATATAAATCTTGGCGGACCTGTAAATGCTTTTGGTGGCCAGACAAGGTTTTGTCAAGGCTTGTCTGAAAGCAGCATCAGATTACGAGGTCCGACCTTATTTCTTAAACGAACAAATATGGTCCAACTGGTCCAACTGTTTGGATTGCGATAAACAAAAGCGACCCTGGTCTAGTTTACGGCCGTTCGATAAGTCATAGTTACAGTGTTTTTTAGAGAAAAAAAGCACTGTGTATTTGCAATTCAAATTCAAACCACTTCGATATACGGCTTTGTTTAAGGCACAGTTGAGACTATTTAGCGTCATAGCTCATATTTGCGGGTCTTTAGATATACAATATGTCTTGGGCCGTGTATGGTGTGCGACTAAATGGGTTCCACTTTATATTCCTATTATGTAACACCAATATTAACTAACAATGATGCATTCTGTCTCTTCGATAGAGTTTAGAAATACTCTTACGGTATAAATAGCATATTTAATTAAAAACAACTTTAACATTCATATTACTGATAGCAAATTGTTTGAAATAAGATATCGAACTGTTTGTTGTTGGTATGATACTTCTTTCAAAAAACAAAAAGTAATCGACAAAATATAAATAAACGAAAAAGGAAACAAGATAAAATACCAAAAAGGAAACGATTTTGTGCAGATTACTACCTTATAATGATATTTGAAATACTGAATCATCGAATGGGTGTGCGTGTTTGTGTTTATTTTCAATTATGTATGTATTCTGTAAGTTCATATCTAGTTCCGTTTTTTAACATATTGCACCGATTATTAGAAACAAACCCGGACCTTATCTTATTGTAAACGTTTTGATCGAAAGATGAAGCGAAGGTGACATCCATGAAATGTCGCTTATCTTTTTTTAAACAAATCGAAACTCTTGTACATTGTAGCTATTTACACATGACGTCTTGCCTATTTTTTAACAAATCATAACTGTCGTTGCTATTCACAAATGACGTCTTGCTTATTTGTATCCAATCATAACTGTCGTTGCTATTCACAAATGACGTCCTGCTTTTTTTTAAACCAATCATAACTGTCGTTGCTATTCACAAATGACATCTTGCTTATTTTTAACCAATCATAACTGTTATAGCTATTCTCATGGCATCTTGATTTTTTAAACAATTCATAACTGTCGTAGCTATTCGCAAATAGCGTCTTGATTGTTTTTAACCAATCGTAATTTGTTTAGTGTCATAATATGATATTATTTGTATTAATAAGCAATGTTGATTATTTATATATATTCTACATTTGATTCTTACGTGTCTGATTGCGTCGGAATCAGCCTTCCGTATCGCGCATTCTGGCGATGTTTTAAGCGCGCGAATCTAAAAGTTTGAATGAAAGTGAATCTTGTGTAAGAGTCACGTAATGTGTCGTAAACCTATTTGTTGGTCACATGTCTTGTATATTGTTAGCGTGGTCATTGTCGTAGTAAAGTTTTAACGTGTTTTGGTCAGTTTGACAATGAGGACAAAAAGCGTATAGATGTGTGGTTCGGATTAGAGTTCAGGACTTGGTCAGTATTGGAGAAATCTGGCATCGGGGAAGAATTAAATGTAAGTAAAAATGTTAGTTTAGGTATTGATCAGCATAAAGTAATATTTTTAATTAGGAGAAAGCTGAAATTTGTTTGAAGTAGGTCAATTTTGAAATAGTTTAATTTTCAGACGTAGCCATTTTTTGTTTGGTCTGATTTGTATTTCTAAAGTGAAAAGATCTATAAGTGATCCCATTGGGCAATGTTCCATACATGTTATTTATTTGTGTAGATAAATCAATTGATCGAGACATAGTTTATGATCGGGACCTTGTAACTTGTCTGATATAGTTATTGTCTGGAAACCTTCTTCATATAGAAAAGATAGGTATTTTGAAGGGGACAACGGTATTGCTTAATGTAAGTGTTGTACATGTTTAACAAATTATGCTAAATTTATTAAGATATATTTATGGCGTCAATGAAACTGAATTCTTATGGATTTTCAAAATTATTGTAAACAGTTTCCTTGTGATCTATTATCTTTTATAGTAAATACATGAAGTAATTATTGACGAAAAAATAGTTCAACAAAAATTACAGCGTATATATAGAAAGAAGATAGCGAGAATGTATCGTGAATGCATAAACGTAGGGTTTATGATTGTCGGGTTATTTCGAAATCAATCCATGTCAAGATCCCTTGGAGTTGTGTGTTATTAGCGATATATACAACGACTGCTGCTGAACTGTCGTAACTAGTCATGCACTAATCACAAAGGAACTCACTTAATATAAGTTTGTACAGTAGCAAGCGAACAAAGTTTAGTTTGTCAGAGAGGTGTGATCAGTTTGGTAAAACCCATAATGTGTATGGATAAATCATATTAAAGCAGTAATTTCAGTTTGACTGGACTCGTTATGAGAGATTCGAGAATTGATTGAATAGAGTAAAACATTATCCCGCAGCGTGTTTTGTCTTTTTCTCTACTTCGTGATTGCATACTGCAGTATTAAAGAATTAAATTGGTTATGTTTTCAAAGTTTTATCGATTGTTTAAGAGAAAACGATGTTTATTCAGCGAGAAACTGACTTTTAAATATAACAATATATTGGTCTAGAAATTGTTAGAGAAATATGAAGGTTTGTTTCAGAAATAAAACATATTTCGCAAGTGCGAAGCCGAGATAAATAAGACTCACCGAATGAAACGCAATACATATTTCCCAACAACTGGTGCAATAACCTGTTTCTATTTCTATCATACAGACAAACATAATATTTTTTGGCAAGGAATAAATTTATTATGGATCAGGTTATGTTGAAAATAATTAATAGGTGGCATTTCTCAAAAGGGCTATTATATCTATAAAAAAAGAAGACGAGAACACCGAATTGTTCATAAAAGCGCCTTTCGGTCCAAAAATCGATAAAACTAGGGCGATTGAAAAAAGAAAAGATTTAGGTGGAAACCCTTAAAAATGAAGAGGGAGAATAAGTCCAGGGGTTCCGAAAGGGTATGCGTTTTATTTTACTTGTACATCAACTACAACCGCCGTCGATGATAAAGGTAATATGCACATCGAATGCAAACGTCAGGAACTCTATATACAGACACATACATTTCCCACTTAACTCCCGAAGCTTTTCGTCCGTGTCCTATAGCTATGATAAACCACGAGGTGTCCCAAAAAGCGCACGTAATGAACCTAGGATGGTGTTCTCATGAGCCTTCATCAATATGCAAACATGGCGAACGTATATTAATAAAAAAGAATACACAATTATATATCATTAAAAACAGATTAAATACAAAACAGTTTCTGATGTTTTGGTATGTTTGTTTTAGAAGTATTTTTTTCGAATTTTGAAATTGTAACGTGCTACATGAATCTTCTATCTAGCATGTCATTAAACAAAGGACAAAGAAATCCCATCTAATACTTACTACACTTGAATCCGTCTCCCTCGAAGCCAGTCTTGCACACGCATTTATAAGAACCAATTGATTTATAACAATCGGCATTCTTATCGCACATGTTATCTCCAGTCAAGCATACATTCACCTCTGAAATTACACAAATATGAGTTAGTATTGGTTTGTTGGGAATTAACCTCCTCGCAACAGCCAGGGTCATACGAGGAATGGTGCCTAGAGTGACACCGCATGAAGTAGAAAGCTGATACAGAAAGAATAGAGAAAAGGAAGAAGCAAGACAGACAAGACAGGAAATTTAAAAATCCGAAATGTTGCGATAGGGGTAGAAGGTCAATTGTGGTATCTTCCCTGTCCGCTTTGCAGAAGACAGAGAACCCCCAAGTATGCAGGGGTCCCCAAATAGGTCGCCATTAACGATACAGTAGTGCGATACAGCAGATCAATTCTTGATTTCTTCAATGTCCGCTAATTATAAGACAAGGAAGAAGCCAGCCCCGATTCTGCAGAATATGAATATAAGCGTTGTAGAACATTTCCAACACCGACCTATAACACTCACTGCAATTAAGTGTGGACAATATATTTTGACCCAGGGTCACTGCTATATAGCATTGTAGTACCTCTTACCAATTCAATATTAGGGGCATTTTGTTTTATAAACGATGAGGACTAGACATTTTTTTCAAAGTTTATGTAAACTGATCCGACAACTCCAATTCCTAAGCGAAATTGTAAGGTTATTACTATCTTAATGACATAAAAAATATAGCCGTCAAATTGGCAAACTAAGAAAATTTAACAATTTTCTGCAATAACTTCGTAACCATGTTTATACATGTGACAAGTGTCTTTACCAATGTCCGAATGGTAAGAGAAAAGAATTAATGCATCCATTTAGTAAAAAAGGATTAAAAATGTTCAGAAAAATACAAATCAGGGGTCCCCGTTCAGAACAAACAACATTTTGCTCCAAACATTTTGTAGCCAGTCACGTAAACATGACGAATAAAGTGTATATTCATACATTTTGTTAGTCGGAGACAATAATTAAGACGTTCTTCACATTAATAATGATAAACAGTCATAAATATTACAATAAGTAGCTAATATAACAGTAAAGAAAGTTTTTTAAAGTATTACTATAATCAGGATAGCAGATAATAACAGATACATTTTCTTATGTTATGAAGGCCAAACAATCATCCTCGATATTCAGGGGTTGCGCTCATTTACGCTCTTTGCACCCCTGTAATATGTCATAGCAAAATCGAAGGCATGCATCAAGATATTTGATTGGTCTTAGGTAAAGATACCTGACCAATCGCTAGGCTGATACCTGTCCTTTGAAGTTTACAGAGGGACGACACCCGACTTCAAATCCACTAGATTCTTGTGATGTACATCAAAGGATAAAACTAGTCTTCTCGTCTGATTCACAAGGTGGCACACACAAAGCCTTCAATTTTTTCATGATATATTCCAGGGGTGCAGAGAGCGAAAGCGAGAGTCATCCCTGGAGTATCGAGGATGATTAAAAGGGTGCAGAGAGCGAAGTGAGCGTAACCCCTGGAGTATCGAGGATGAACACATGTAACCTGATCCGGTTTCACGACTTTTGCGATGACATGATCTACTTTTCTTCCAGTTTGCACACGTTACATTACCATACAATGTGCCATACCGGAGTTTCTTGCTCCCGAAGTGATTTAATGTAATCATGGTAACTAAGGATTACTGCTCACACTACTGTCATTGAGTCGAATCTCCGAAAGTCATCTAACAGTAATTTCATAGCCCGTAACCGCATTAAAAAATCACCCTACCATTACGATAATGAGAAAATACTGACCGCAAAAATAGCCATTTCCAACGAATCCCGATTTACATCGACAAACGTCCTGAATGCAGACGGCGTTCCTGTCGCAGCCACATGGATCTGAAGGCAAACAATAGAGAAATCAAATGTTATATGTAATTACTATCCGTTATCAGAACTGAGCTGAGATTGTGCATGACATATCCCGGGGGTGAAGAGACGATACGTGTATTGAGAGCGACAGAACCTTATGTTATTCCCTGTCAATATAATGTGACCAGGCGGAATCCTGTGCTTGGTGCTTTCAGAATGGTATTCCAGTGAAATAGCACTATAAGGTCGGCATCAGATCCCCGCTATTAGAAGGAAGTATATACACTACCGTACCCTGTCTCCTGCACACAAACACACATACACAACACACATGGGTGCACTTCCTTAAATGACCTTAGTTGTTAGTAGGTCGTTAAACAAAATAAAACTAAACCAAACCCAGCGTCAAGTCCAGACGTGTCTTTACTTACTTTATTTTTTCTTATACGTATTTTACTGTCTATATTGGTACACAAGGATTTAGCACTAGTTATTACAGTTTTTGAAGCCTATTCCTTCCAACAATCAATCACAAGTTGTCTCATAGACAGACAATTTCAAATTATTTAGATGGAAGCAAGTCAAATTGATATATTATGAACTAGTTAAAATGAAAAACTCGCTAAATCTAATATAGGTTTGCACAAAAAGACGTCTGAATATATCACAGTTCACATCGAAACTAAGGATTTCATAATAGTAATTTCAAATTGTATTGGAATATTTAAGTTGCTTAAATATTGAAAGAATACAATGAGATTGACACTGAAAAATAAGTAATAGGCATTTCCCAGATGTTAGCCACAATTGATTCAGTTGGACAAATGAACTTGTGAATTATCACGAAAATGAAATGTTTGATAGATCTATATTGAAGTTGGAGCAATACATCTAAAATCTGGGTTAGTCAGGTGGTATATTGAAGATAATACTAATTTAAAAGAAGAAAGTGTCAAGGATCCTTCCATTCATCCGTCACGCCATCCTCAATACGGCATGGGTTACGCTTACCTACGATCTCTGCACCCCTGGATTTGTCATAACAAGCGTGAAAGCACAAAGACAGCTGTTTGATTGGGCTCAGGTAAAAAAACCTACAAATCGCTAGGCTGATATCTGTCCTTTGAAAATTACAAAAGGGCGACACCCGACTTCAAATTCAGTCAATTTTTACCGTTACGCGACCGCGATAATCTTTTGATGTAAATCAAAGGATATAAATAGTCTTCTAGTCTTATCAACAAGGTATAAGCTATGACATATTGGTGAGCGTAACCCCTGGAGTATCGAGGATAGCGTCACTCGCGGACTTCACCAAGTATGTTGTCGTATCATGTTTTGGAAACATACGGCACTTTGGACAACAGACACAGTTGTATACAATTACCTTTGGTTTTATTACATTTAATTAACAAACTTAATTCGTACATAATGCCTATTCCCTCTCTGTCACACTCCATATATACCCACAAATATACCTCTACGCACAGGAGAGAACGGTGACGTATCACACTCCATATATACCCACAAATATACTTCTACGTACAAGAGAGAACTGTGACGTATCACACTCCAAATATACCCACAAATATACTTCTACGTACAGGAGAGAACTGTGACGTATCACACTCCAAATATACCCACAAATATACTTCTACGTACAGGAGAGAACTGTGACGTATCACACTGCATATATACCCACAAATATACCTCTACGCACAGGAGAGAACTGTGACGGATCACACTCCATATATACCCACAAATATCCCTCTTCGTACAGGAGAGAACTGTGACGTATCACACTGCATATATACCCACAAATATACCTCTCCGTACAGGAGAGAACTGTGACGTATCACACTCCAAATATACCCACAAATATACTTCTACGTACAAGAGAGAACTGTGACGTATCACACTCCATCTATACCCACAAATATACCTCTACGTGCAGGAGAGAACTGTGACGTATCACACTGCATATATACCCACAAATATACCTCTACGCACATGAGAGAACTGTGACGTATCACACTCCATATATACCCACAAATATACATCTTCGTACAGGAGAGAACTGTGACGTATCACACGAGTTTACTTGTTTCCGTTGTCCACGTGACTACTATTTTGTACTCTTACACTGTGTCGTTGGTAATGTGGTCGTTGATGGCGACACTGGTCGTCTGACATGTGATCGTGCTGAAGCTGATATTGCCGGCACGGGTACACTGACTGCAACAAATATACACAAATAATAAAGATGACAAGACATTAGACTGATATGAAAATTAACATAGCATTTTCTAACTAGTACTACAGGAACACGTAGGTATATCTCCGTTTCTATCTCTGCACAAAGCTCAGACTTGTGAGTTGTCATAGGTGGGAGAAAGGAAGAATTCTTTTGTTATTGAGCATGCGTGATAAAGGTCCGGGTAATTGTTACTGAACATAACATTTCACGGAACGAATTGCTCGTTCGGATGATAAATTCAGAAAGAAAAAAACCGCAGCAAAATCAGACTGGATATGTGAGAAAAAAGAAACAATGAACTATTAAGTTGATACTTTTATATTTCTCAAACATAAATTGAAATATGTTTAAATCAAATCAATCAATTTTTTTTTAAATCAACTACCTTCAGGATTTAGTGAGATAGACGCTTGTTCACAAATTACAAAGTTTATACGAGATAAACATCAATTATCTATTTACCAAGTTAAGGTGAAATTGACATTATTTATTTACTAAAAAATAATTGAGATCTATTTTAGTTAATAACTGACCTAGTTGTAGTGAGTCATCGAAATTATCTGGATGATTGTTATTAGGTGAGAAAGTGACTGACTAGTTACCGAAATTTAGTGAAAACTACGGTAGAGAATTTCTTCCCGAAACTTGAAGTAAATAACATATGCTAATTACTTACTTAGAGCCGTAGCTAGTATCAGCCATACTGTTGGGTTCCACATGCTTGCTCTAATCTGAGTGCTATGGTGTCGTACACTGTAGATAAACAATGTAAGCATAAAACAGCGTAGGTGGAAACGTATTCCGTAACCATACCCACATTTACGCGTAACATTTAACAATAACAAGTTTCATTACTGCATTACATTAAAGTAGCTTGCGGCTGTTTGTGTTCGGTTTGTATAAAATTGTATTGATTGTTATTACTTAACAAACGAGATATAATTATATATGCCTAATGGAACATCGTCACTTGTCAATTACGGTATACCTGATTCGACGACAATCATGGAAACAACTACAGTGAACTCTACATAGGTATCTTATCTACGTGAATCAACATTAACAGCGCTACGTGGACAATTATACAAACAACTTTCGAACGATGTTTTATATACACAACCTCAGTATGTATTATGTTCAAGTGGTTTTTTACGTATTGTCATAAGTTTGTATACCATTTATTTTAGGGGATCAAGCATCCTGAATAATACAACGTGATCTCCAAGTAATACGCCATCAGTGCTTGTTAAGCTAAAATATAAAAAATATAATTAACTATATTTATTTTAGAACAATTATGAAACAAGTTATATCAGCTTGTATTTATCACTCTAGTTGGCCCCGGATGTTAGCGTGCGGTTCTGAACGTGTGAGGAAACCGGAGTACCCGGCGCAAACTTACCTGGTCGGGCAGCTGACCCTATACTAATTCACGTCCGATCGGGGATTCAAACCCGACCGCCTTGGTGAAAGGCACGTCCGTTACCCACTGAGCCACCCGACCATTCATATGCCATGTGCTTCTGGTGCCTGATGAACAGCTCTAGATAAACTCACATCGTACAGCTTTCGACCTAGAGACACCCTGCAACCCCGTCTGTTGTTATCGGTTATCTAAACTCAGCATTTATCTGTAGAAAAGCAAAGGGAAGAGGCTAGAGTAAGTGAAAATTAACTGTCCCTCGTGCAGTCGGCAGTTGCAAGCTCAAAATTTCTATGGATGACATCGAAAAGGATTTGCAGGCATTTCAAGTAGAGACGAACCAGTTGTTGCCATTATCCCGAATGCTGGACGTTAATCAGGGACTAACAACTACCTTTGGGAACAGAGCTCATTGTTATCCAAACCTTGGCAAACGTTCAATATTTAAGCCAAAAGTGAGACATGTGCTGCCCCCTTGAAGCAATTTTTATTATTAATTGTTCTTTTCTCTCCTATTTCGTTTTCGTTTCGGAGTCGTCTCCCTTGGCATATTTGTACCGTTTGTAATGCTTCTTACTCTCCAGATCATAAATGTCAGTGAGATGCCTGGGGCTTTAAAAAAAGCTTTTAAGTGGCAAATCAAATGAACACAGTCTTTTCAACAATTCAAAAGAATAAAACTATATTTCATGATATTATGTATACGCTAAGAAAGTCTTTAAGCGTGAAATTGTTTTATATTTTTTTGATGATCTTCACTTACCTACAAAACTAGAGCGTGAACTGTGTGTTTAATTTCTCTAAACACTGTTATTACATTAGTTTAGGCATCAGAGCGTTACTGTCTGAGAAATTCACGTTTGCGTAGAAGTATTTAGATGTTGCATATTTTCAAATTGTGAAACTTTCCTATAAATATTTAAAGTTGGTCAGCATCGTATCCGTGATTTACGAATAAGGAACTAAGGGTTAAGCTAATTCCGCACTCGTTATTGAATAATTAATAACGAATAACTAACTAAACCTTGCTGACTGTCTGCAGACATACTATTTATCAACTGACATCCAACATATGTTTTGCCTTTTTGTTCAGGCGACGTTATGAAAGATGACCGTTAGACACATATCTGTGATTGCACCTATACAGTTGGGTAATAAATACAGTAATCTGGAAATTGATGAATTACACTTCACCATTAAAGCTGTTCGTCCTTCTAGGACTTCATCGGTGATGCTAGAGGCCTAAAAGGTGGAAGTCCAAATCGTTCTCAACATCTGTTGAAGCAGAAAGGGATATCTTAAAACTCCTTAGTTATATGAATATCAAAACCATAGCCTTCTTTTTCAAAATAAACATAGGTATATGTATATATAACTTTCACAAGATCTAGAAAGCTATTAAATTGACAAAACTGTAATTTTCTATGAAAACAGTTGAACATGACTGTGAATTTATTTGATTATGTAATAAATATATATTTTCACTTATTTATGTTGTGCTCCTCTACACAACGTTTTACATATACTTTTGATAAATGTACATATCGGGTTAATTCTGTATATTTAATAATAGATTAAATAGTTACATATAAATAAATCAATACACAGTTTAGGTGGTGATGACCAGTGCAGTACTTGCACATGGACTTTTGGTCCATCTACCTAACTGTATCGAATGTTAATTAGTAACTCATGTGTACACGTGTCATTATGATAATTAATAACTATATTTATGTTTTGTTTGTGTGTGTCGGTGTCGGTGTGTGTATGTCCTATGTTATATTGTAAGTGATCAAAAGTGAGTTACCTCCCTTTAATTACTTTATCGTTTACATTTATGTATTTTCATTTTAAAATATCTATAAAATCTATTCAGCTAAAGTTCTATAATATTCTTGTAACACTCTAGCCACCTATGGAAAAAAAATGATATAGGCTTGTCTTTTATTCGATACATTTGACCATAACACCATGTCAATAAAATCTATGTATGTTTATGTGAAGGGTGCATTTGAGTGTTGACGATGTTGTAAATACTGATCTGGTTCGCTGACTTTTAATTCACCTGTGTTGAGAGTGATATTTTTGTTGCCGATGTGCTGCCTTTGGTAGTATATGTCACTTGCCATTTTTGTTAATCACGATACAAACGGTTGAACCGGTTGGACTAAAGTTGTTCGAATCTGATGTTGCTTTCAAGCGAGCCTTGACAAAGCTTTGTAAGGCCTGCATAAACTTTTGCAGGTTCGCCAGTATTTATACCAAATAATGTTAACATTTAAAAACAGACGAACCGGTTGTTCCGCATTAACGAGCAGGCCCCATGTGTGTTGACGCCGTGGTATACTGTTTCATACCCGCGTTGCAGTGTCTTTTTAAAACCTTAATCTTTTCAACAAAACGTAAAAATATGATATGATGACTAGACAGAAATAAGTCTTAAGATGTAATCGTCTATTAACTACAGAAGGAAGCTTAATCGTACCGTAGCGTAGTACGGCGTCATTGTTAGGGTTAGGAATTGAAAAGAAATATAAAGTAGTACAAAGATAAATAGTCGTTCATTAATAGTCGAGCGAACTTGTTAAAAGGTTGTGTGAACGAGATATTTTCTGCAAATTTGCACGAATTAGCTTTCGTAAAGAGCCCTTTTATAAATGAAATTTGAAGCTATTATGTTTCTCAGTTAAATACACATACATGATCCTGGATGAAATGTGTTTCGTCTCAGTAACTTCAATGACTCATGTGTTTCTGTAATACACAACAACGCACTTTCATCAACATGGATACATGTAGCCTCAGAGTCGTATCTCTTGTTGGCTTTAGTTTGTTAGAAGTATTATTCTTCGGTGGAATACAATATGGGTGGTTTGCGCTTGTTTTCATCCTGAAGCAAGAAGGCGTATTCGAAAATCTCTGTGTTCTGGAAGATAATGTTTCAAAGTCTAACGTCAGTTCGAGTAACGTGACCTCTGATAGTGACGGTTGTTTCCTCCAGGATGAACGATTCAATTTGATTTTCAGTGTTGGAGTTGGTATCTTTACAGTGGCGACGTTTCTCGCCGGACAACTATATTTGTCATTTGATACCAAACTGATACGGGCGATACATATGTAAGTCACACTCAATGTTTAAACAAAATCTATATATTGTACTTTTTTATCACCATACAACCTGTGTTTGATGCCAGACTCTTTATGAACTCATGTGACACTAAAATATATGTTCTATATTTGTGTATGCTGGGCCGGTTTATACTGTGTTCCAGTATTTGAGTCCTACATTTACTAGAGCGTGAAAGTGGCGAGGGACCTTTTCAAGGGTACTATATATTTACACATAATATACAAATAATGAAAAACCTAGATTCATTAAATACATATATACACCATTTAAATAACAATAGACCTAAGCCCGTATTCATGAAACCGTTCTCGTGCTCAAGCATGGATTCTGTGCTCATACCTACTTTCTTGCCGCTGGCTTGAAATCTTGTTACACGGTCAAAATGTTCAGTTTAAACAGAAAATTGTATTCAGCCAAAAGACTCTCTAAAAAAAATCCAGATCATTTACAAAATGTCATTTTTCCTAAACTTATCAATGGAATAAGAAATTGGTTTAGAGCACATAATCTGACTTTGAGAATGAGAACGGTTGTATGAATACAGGCCCTAGATATATCCGAGGAAAAGGCCAGGACACTGTTACCTTCTAACGGATGTAGCATGCATTCTATCAAACAAAGTTTGTAAAATATACAACATTTGATACAGCGTCCTATCTAGATAAGATAGGCTGCTCTAAAGTGCTTGACAGTATATTTCTTAACATTTTCTTCAGGTTTGCTAGTACGAACAGATTCAAGTAACACAACCAGTAAGTGTAACCCTCCTGACAACTTATTGGTTGTGCTACTTAAATATTTTCACACCGCTTTACAGTACATAGATATATGCATTGTAATTTATACATACATTTCAGTAATCCGGAGCTCAACTGTGATAACTCCTGTCCATATTTGGTCATATGTCTCGACCAATTAAACAATAAAATTTTCATAATTGGAATAATTACACACTTCTTTTATGGTACTGAGCACTAGTTTGACATCTGCAGTACTACAGTATATGTTGGTGCTTGTACAAACTGGTGTGTCTCATATATTGCTTTGCTATTACGTGTATAGGACTGTACTAGAATTTTAAAAAATATGGGTCGAGCTTGTTTAGCTAGTTTTAATGTAAATTGATGATAGCATTAATATGCTTTTATTGATTTTTATATACAGGGCTATGGCTGTCGCCGGAATATTGTGTTTCGCTTTCACATCACCAGGTACGTGTTACATTAATTATATTTTGTTATTTTTACATATTAAATGTAAATATTTTAAATATTTTAAATATAAAAATGATGGAAACGAGCTATAATATACCTTCCCGTGTTGGTAGCGATAACATACAATGTATTAAAGCGTGTCTTATCTTAAAGCAGTTAAATAGATTAATTCAGACTCTTTTGAGGGGTACCAATTTTAATGCTCGCGTGGGCCAAAACGACAGGTTTTTTTGTTCGACCAGTTCCTGCATAGAACAATGAAGGGTGGTAACAAAAATGATATGTAACTAAGGCGGTGTTACATGTCAAGAAGTTATACTGTGGATACGAATGTGTGCATCTGTTTGCTGAAATGATTCATGTAATCCACATTGTACACGTAGATCATCTATGCCAAGTTCAAAATTACCAAACTTAGTGATATATCATATATCAAAGTTTTACTTTCTACACAAACAATGTACGTATTAAACGTGTCGCAACATTTCAAGACCGACTGGTTCCTTTGTAAGGCTATGACTGAGTGAGCGATTTGTATTATTTTACCTATACAACGATGTGAAGAAATTTTATATTTTTATGTACATTCACTGTACACCGTTATACAGACGTACGTCAATGTTTATCCATGTTGACCATAGAAAACTTCCAGAATGAGATAGATAATGAATATGTTATATTTGTAAGCATTGAACATTGTCTTTGTAAACGCACAAGTAAACTGTTCTATAAATAATGTTTTAAAAACGTCCCGGTCGAGTGACCACATACAAATCGCTCACTCAATGGTAGCTTGACAAAAGGACCAGTCGGTTGCAGCGTTGCGACACGTCTAATAACACATATTTCTAAACTGATGAATCTTATTGAAGGTACTGATATATCTGTAGTCAATGCATAGTTACATTAAGAATTTGGCAATTTTGAACTTGACGGTGTTAACTTACTTTTACAATTTGGGTTACATTCAGCACATCATCAAATACATTTATTGTGTTTTTACATCAAATTTAAGCTACTCTTTTGTTACTCGTCTTTAACGCGCTGGTTTACATATGGGACATACGTGATACATAGCTCACTCGTAAACTGTTCTATAAACAATGTATTAATTATTTAACACACTATGTTTACATGCACGTGGACCCCTTGGCTACCCCTACCCGGTATCATATTTGTGGGCGTGGCTGGTCAGGCTTTGCTGATATCTAATTTAATGCAGGTAATGTACTTTTATCTGATCATAACATAAATGTTAAGTAAGGTGCAATCGGTTAAAAGAATTACACACTATTTCAATTGATTATCAGGATAAATATTTATATTGACGTGATCAATGTATATACTCCAGTGTATATTTCATAAGAGCTATATGTCATGTACTATGACGTTAAAGGATGATGCTTATAATTTAGTAGCCTTTTAAATGGAATTTAATATCGCAAGTGTAACAAGAAATACAAGTTTAAGTATAATTCACATAGGGTAGACAAACGCCAAATATTCCTTTATATCACTGATGAATTCTAAATGGACAAAACGGCCATGTGGTGCAGTGAACGTTTAATTAATAGATTTTATAAAAGGTGCTTCACTTGAACGTATTTCTATTGGTCATTTCATAGTATACTACTTGTACACTTACGAAATTATATTCATGGGACATTATACATTTATTGCCTTTCTTGAGGAAAACACGATTCTTTGTTTCTCCGAGGATAACCATGTTTATGAGGGCGAAGGGTCTGCTTTAGTACTGTTATTATGCCGACAAAAATATATAAATCAATCAAAAACAAAATCAAATAGCAGAGATAATCACTTGAACGCACAATTGTTATCGTCTGCTCCAGTCATTCGGAACTAGGTTTTGTAGGCTCGTGTGCATTTTTCTAGAGAGTCTCCAAATAAGAGAAATATAATAGGGAAAACTTGAGCGCGTGATACCCCGTCATATAGCCAGTATCATCTAATCAGACACGCTGAGGTATACTTTAATACGTTATTGAACAGGTGCTGCCATTACTACAGCGAGGGTCCTCCATTTACATTGGTCTAATCAACGGTTGTCTGGACTCGTCTGTTTTGACAATGATGGTAGTTAAGGTATGCGCTTCAAATCATAACGATTTTTCATATCGCAAAGATAAATGTCAAATTCCTATTAGTCTACTTTACTTTACTGGACACATCCAGCTACTGTTACAAGTTTTTTAATCGAATCTATGAGTACTTAACCAAAACAGTAGTACAAGAGCAAGGCAAGTCCAGATTAATGTAGTGAGAAGATCAAGCAAGATGTCTTCAATCTATCAAAACAGAAAAAAATAAGATTTCTATAAACGAAAAAATCTTATATGTGCGATTAAGTGGAATAGCATAAACCCATTAGTAACGTTAAGGTTTAACTGTGACTTTCAAACAAAACTCTACATTTAATGTTTCTTCTCGTTTTATATGATACTTTCGGTCGTTCCTATCGTTAACCATTGCAGGATTGATCGAATACCAGGTATCCCCTATATTTTCAGAGGTTACATGAAGACGGAGTCAATAAGAAATTCTCTTTAATTGGCACCGCCATCTTGTTTGTCCTGGTGGTAGGTATATGTACACTACTCCATCCGACAACACAAAAAAGGGACGTAACCGATGGAAACCAGACGACTAAACGAAATGAGGAAAACGATGAACCCGAGGAAAATGAAAAGGCTAAAGAAAAAGTGATAGAGGGTATGAAGTTTGTTCAAAGCACGACAAACAATGGTGATGGTATAGTTGAACATGTAACAGAAATGTTGAAAATATCCTGAAAATGCAATTGCATAAATGTAACCCAATGGAAAGCTTCAAATGTTGATTTTAATCATACATTGGTAATTTTATATAATACAATTTCAATCGTTGCGACGTAATTAAATGAAAAGTGGCTTGTGTAGAAGATTGATTACATCACATGTATGATGTGATATGTGACAAACAAATGTACCCGCTGGTTTGATGTGCAATACCGCATCTATTGTTTGTTATTTATGTACTTTTCGACTGAAAGAAATCATTACGAATCTCATTTCAACGAAAAACAAAAACATTTTTTTTTATCAAAGTTATATTTTAATTGAATCATATTGTCGCTTTTAATCTAGCCAAAAACATATTTAATTCATCGTTTGGTTTTATAATGTAATAAATGTGTTTGTTAAAGATATCGTAAACAAGAGAGAATTAACTTCCGGTGACGGCGATCGAACTTCCGGCGACATGATGAATATGACAATTGGTGTAATACTTTGTCATCACCTCTTTATTTCACATGTTATGTGGTTGAGTGTTGTGTTGTTGAAGTTCTACTACTTCCTCGGATCAGCAAACAGATTTATGGAACACATTCTCCAAGACGAAAGTAAAGGTAAATTTTGAGCACAAGTTCGATAATGCATTCACTTCTGGTCGATTGTACGTCATATGTTGTTGACATATAACATCAATATTATTATCTTTTTTTAACTATCAAATATATTGGTGATAACGTATATATTGAAATGGGAGCTAAAAGTTTCACAAAAATCTGAAATACAATCATATATGATATTTTTGAATCCATGACATTTAAATTACTGAATATTAAGTGACTGACAAATATGGAATCTAGAAAAACCATGACTTCAGAACAGAATTTCTGGATTTTCGCAGGATTTCATTTTTTACTCGGCTCACATACAGTAAATGCTTTTTAATACTAAATCATACGCAGATTGGCTATTACGTGACCATTTTGACACTATTCCATTTGAGTTAAATGAGTTTAGTTCAAGCATGTTGCAGATATGCCTTTTGCGCATACGAAAGAAATCTTTGACCTTCATTTTATAAACTTTAATCATAATGAGTAAAATCCATATGGGTTTATCTAGAAATTCACTAAAGTTACCACATCACTTTCCACAGTAAGCTATTTCACGGACGTCATGTCCTTCGTCATGCTTGGAGGTTTGGTATCATCTTTCATCGCCGGATACACAATGGATGCGATGGGAAAGGTGTTCAAAGGTTATTTATCAATTGTTTAAATGTAAGGTGACATTTTCTTTATTCAATGAAAATTTAGCAGATGAATTATTTAAATATAATTATATAACTTTATGGTTGTAACAAAAGGAAAATACGTATAGGTGGTTTTACTAATGAAATACTTAGTAAATTGTCAGCATTTTATCATTTTAGGTATTTGATGCTATTTGAACTTACATTAATAATCTCTAGACTAATGATACCTTATTCCAATAAATTTATTTTTTGTGAAGAGTGATCTGATTTTGGTCATGCGTCTTCAATTGATTGAGCAGTTAATAGTTCAACTCTCGTATTCTGTTAAACACATTTTGGGAACTTCATAAATATACCCGAAGATGACGTAACGATTTTTAGTAATGTTGATAAACGTAGTCATTTGGTTTAGTTTTATTTTGTTTAACGTCCTATTAACAGCTAAGGTAATTTAAGGACGAGCCTCCATCGTGTTTTGTAAGCATGCATACGTGCCGACGACAGAGTATGTGTGTGTACTTGCCTCCATGTGACAGCATGGATCTGTTGCCGACTTTATAGTGCTATCTCACCGAAACACTATGCCGAAGGCACCCAGCACAGCATTCCACCATGTCACATTATACTGACAACGGGTGAACCAGTTGTTGCCATTACCCTCACTGCTGAACGTTAAGCAGGGAACAATAACTAGCATTATTTAGGACTTTGATATTTTCCGGCCTGGGAACAGAACCCATTATCTTCCTCGCCTTGGGCGAACGCTCAACATTAAAAGCAACGCCTTTGTCAATGATATGTCCTATGAACATATTTCAGAATGACATGCGTTGTAGGGACTATACAACGTAAGGTGTCAGATAACAATTGCAGATTAATAAAATGTTAGATTACTATTGTTGTATTGTCTTTCATTGTAGTTTACGTTATGTAATGGTCACAATTGCATGGCAATATATTATAATTTCCCTTTCTTAAAATTAACAAAGAAAGGAAGAAAAAAAGAGAAAATAAAGAACAAAAAAAAAGTATGTTTACCATCAGTCTTAAATTTACAATAAAATATATGTACTTAATTGTTAGACGCTTGTTTGATATTTTTTCGTTATTGTCGTGGATGTTTGTGGTGTTTAACTCCAGGTATCATGAGGACAGTGATCCCCCTTGCAGTGACGTCATGTTTGACGATTCTGTTGTCTGCCCTAGCATTTATATCCACACCGACAGCGTTGTATGTCGACTTCGTCGTGCTGACCTTTCTCCGATCTTTCGTCTATAGCATTCACGTACAGTACATCAGAATCGCGTAAGTCGTAGAATGTATATAGCATTTTGTTCCTAATAAGAAGGCTAGATATATTTTACTGATTTAATTCGTCACATATGATGTATACCGCATATTGTGCAAGAAACGCCACTTCCGTAAGACATGTTGGCACTTCCGGTTTTTGGCGGATAATGATATTCATTTCTTACGTTTTCATTATTTCGTAACCAATTTATTTCTGTCATGGTTTATATGATTGATATGAATTCTACACACAACACTGACATTAAGCCAATCATATACACATATTGTGCAGAATATATTTTCAACTGCGATTACTTGTTTTCGCGTGGGTGCATAACGTAATCAGATGATAAACAAACAAGGATCTACATCGGCGAAAGAGATACAAGTACATGTCTTTGACACTTTTTGCTACAGGTTTTAAAAAAAAACTCTTGATGAAATATAATTTGCGATTTCCGCGTTTTGTGAATTATCAGCTAAAGAATCGACTTACCAATCACAAATGATTTAAAATGCAATGGAAACGTGTATCATTTCAGATTTCCCATGAAATACATAAGCATGGTATACGGAATGGCTGTTTCTATTTCTGGGATTTTGACCATGATTCAGTATGGCCTGTTTGCTTGGACGGAGGAATATGTTGGGGCAATGACACACGTAAGTTATCTCCCCTTACCGATATCATATCGAAAGGAGGACAAAACAATCCTATGCCAAGCTGTATATAACGGATAAAAAAGACCCTGTCGTTGTTTAGATTTCCCTCGATAAAATATATGTACATACGTTACTGGTTACAGTTGTAGGTATAAAGGCAAATTGTAAGTTTTTCGGAACAGAAGTATTATCTGAAGCTGAAATCTTTGGTCTGCCGCCAATTGTTCCATGAAATACGGTTATTTATGAGGCATTGTCATTGTAATGAAAATAAAGTAAACTGTAAGTAGTAATTTTCGAAAAATTCTCATTTTTGTGATGAATGTGAATACCAGAAAATCTTTTAAATCATAATGAAAGGAAAGATAAAAAGACTAAAAACATCACTTTCACGTGTTATAAAGCTTTATACGAGTCCGTCAATTCCGATAGCCCATACTATTTAAGGAGTAACATTGCGTTAGTAAGCTCTGATATGTATAGATATGATTTTTCTTGAATCAAATGATAAAACATTAGATGTGATAATTGAAGCGTTTATTAGTCTTCTTAAGCATCCACACAGTTCTAATAAAACAAATGACCGTATAATTTTGAACTGGATTGAACAAACAGGTATCAATGTTTATTTTATTACGGCAATCTTCATTGATCAACTGTTTTTTATCCACTAGGTGAACGTATTCCTGTTGTGTGCGTCATGTATCTCCTTGTTCCATCCCATCCTCGTCTTCTTCAGCTACAGACGAAGTAGATACACTTACATTATTAAAGGATGAATGCGGAGTCTATTGATTGAAGGATGAGTTAAATAATTGAATGACGAGTCAAATGATTGAAGAAGGAGAGTTAAATGGTTGAAGGAGGAGTCAAATGACTGAAGGAGGAGTCAAACGATTTAAGGAGGAGTAAAATAATTAAATGGTGTCAAATGGTTGAAGGAGAAGTCAAAGGAGGAGTCAAATGAGGAGTCAAATGATTGAAGGAAGTGTCAAATGATTTAAGGTGGAGTAACATTATCCAAGTAGGAGATTATTTTGTGCTATTGATGAGGCGATGATAGCCTATAATGGGAGCCTTAGCTTTAAGCAATATATACCTGCTAAACCTGTTAAATTTGGAAGCAAGGTATTGGAAAATAGCAAAGTTCGTATGTCGTTGGCTAGTGGCGACAACCGGCCACATTCGAAATATAAAACAACTGAAGGCGAGGCGAGTTTGTCTCAGCGGCAGGCAGCGAGGCAGACCCTTGACTCAGCGACTATCGGCAAGTATGCAGTGAAACCCCACGTACTCGAACTCGCATTACTCGAAAAAACCTGTTCCCCGAAGAGTTTGCTTTGTCCCGACCATGTTCTTATGTATTCTATGTAAATTAACCTTGGATTACTCGAACTGACATTGCGTTTATACAGGTGTCAGCCGGATGTCAGATAACTAGAGGATTTACGGCAGTATCATTAAGTAACTGTACCGTTACCTTGTTGTAGATGCATTATCATTGTGTGTACATTATTATTATTTCCTTGCGATCTTTGGCATCGATGTTTCAGCGGATTCCCGACCACCTTGAACGATATTCATTCCTGAATACTTGGAGATTGTTCTTTTGTTAGAAATCAACATTATAAAAACAGGGATTCAAGATCTCATAATTTTGAAATGATCGAAGTGTTTCTCTCGTTTTCAAATTTGTCTAATTAACGTAGCCGAATACAGTATGGCATACTTTGTCTAAACGACAAGTACGTGTCACATTACTACAGCTTCTTCATTTTACTTCATTCCTAAATACCGATGCCTATATGTTTTCAGTTTTGAGCAATTTTATATCTTATTAAATGTTGTAATCTTCATTGAACTTGTGTTTACTTATTTAATATATTTGCGGTGCGTGTGCTGTCTGTTGTCCCACCTGTTCAAAACGATGCCGGAAGAACCTCGGATTCGTCGAATAGCATGTATTCTTCGAACTATTAATCTGGTCCCCACGAGTTCGAACTTTACTGTATGCTTATTTTGTTTTAAGGCTTCGATACAAGATCTTCATTTAAACTTGTTCTTGAAGACGGAACGACAGCTTTTTTTGTGTTAATATCTCTGTGTGTAATTTATTAGAATTTATTAAAGCAACATAATGTACGCTAATTGCGCAAGAATGGAATGAGCGATATGATTGTTAATTTGAAAGATGTGCAAAGACAATTTGAAAAGAAGAATACTTCATCGTGTCTAAGGACTTAGCATGCATGTTAAAATGACATGTATACATATGAATGTAAATTCTGAGATTATATTCTGTAAGTACATTTTTCAGGCTGAGCATGTGTCTTTTTCGAGTGCTTTACTACAAAAATCCTATCCCGAGGGTTGATATTTGTCTGCCAAATTCACAAAGGTTCTTACCGTACAAACGGTGCAAGGAATTGGGCCGCTCCATCATTAACGGTTACCATCAAATGTATGACATTTATTTGTCATATTATTCACTAAATATGCGTTCCAAGAAAGGGTCGTACGAGCTGTCTCCTCCTAGAAAGGAAACACATATACATTCCCTAGCAAACATGAAACATGCATGTAAAGTGTTAACCAAAATTTATGAGGAAAATATAATGACACAATAATGCCCACCTTTCATCTGCATTTGTAATTCGAGATAGGATTAGTTTGCTTTGTTAAAGATTCGGTCAGTAGTTTGTAAATAACAAACAAAAAGAAATTTATGATAGCGATAATGCCCTATTTAAATTCGAATACTTGTTAAATTTTTGTTAACGTTTCTTGTCTTTCAACCAGTCATTGTCCTGCGAGTTATGTCCCATAAGTTACATGAAAAGCAAAATACAGAATTATTAATAAATGTTCATTTTTCAGACTTTTTAACATCTTAATAGAAAGTGTTGAAATATTGGTATTTAAACAGGAATTTTCAAACATAAATGAATAAATGTTTGAACACGATTTTCTAATAATTTTCAAGGTATATAAACAGAAGTACAACGCACATGCATAATGTTCCTATCAGGACACACAAAACGCTTTTCTGTCAGATGTTTAACCTTGAATGTTCCGTGAACATATGCGATAATATGAGGGTCCACACGTGCATATACATATCCAAACATTTCTAGAGCATGCATCCACTTCAACCTGGCACAAAATAATCACTGACTCGAAATTATGACATCAACTGTGACAACGACTTGTTTGTTAGATTAAAACGAGGCGTCTGTGACAAATTGATAAATTGAGACTATGTGCAAACGAATTTATTGTTTTCTGTCACCTTCAAATACACATTTGTTTGGCGGTATTATGTATGCACTGATAACATGTGTATATCGGGGTTTGGTTTGGTTTAATATTATTCAACGTCCTTTCAACAACTATGGTCATTTAAGGACGGCTTCTACTGTTTGCAAGATGCATGCGTGTAGTGTATGCGTGTGTGTTTTGGAAGGCTGCAATATGTTCGGGTTTTTCCTTGTGATAGCGCGGAACTGATGCCGACTTTATAGTGCTACCTCACTGAAACATACTGCCGAAGGCACCCAGCAGGACACCCAACCCGGTCACATTATACTGACAACGGGCGAACCAGTCGTCCACCTCCTAAATTGATGAGCGTTAAGCAGGAGTAGAAACTACCATTTTTACAGACTCTGGTATGTCTAGGCCAGGGGACAGAACCCAAAGCCTTTCTCCCAGGGGCGAACGCTCACCTAAAGGCCAAAAGTGAGGCATTGTCAAGGGAGACATTAGGAAGAAAGAAAATGTTTAGAAAGAAGAGAAAAGACAAGATCCCAAATTTAGTCGCCTCTTACGATCATGCAATGGGGGCAGCAGGTTCCATTCTTACGCCCTACCTGCAGGGACTGTAAATCGGTGACAGGTTCACAACGGAGAATAACGTAAATAAGTCGGCACTTCAGTGATACTAAATATAAATTGCCCCTTTCTTTTCGTTGATGATCTTTAGAATATTGGATACAATTCATTAAAAAGCTTGAAATGGTCAGAATAAAACCAAACTGTCGTGAAATCCTGAGTCCGGGTCGTTTGAAGTTTGACACCCGCGTGAATGAAATTGTATGGGCGCCATCCAATGTTCTATAAGCATTGTTAGTATAACTGTCTTATTACTAATTCAGTGCAAAACGAAGTCAGCTTAGTTTTTAATGATGCTTCTTTGAGGTTATAAGAATGTCGAAAATGCGCAAGATAACGTTGCCATTTGTGCAGACATTGTAGTATCTTTAGTGCTTGTAAATTGAAGATTTGTTTTATTTGTTCTTTGGTGCTGTTTTTGTAGTAATGTTCCACTTATCTGTTGACGCCGTGGCATACTGTTTCTACCTTATGGTCATTTCATTTCAACAATTTTTTTTGACAAGGATGTTATATTGCCAAAGAGATTGGGCAACAGGCGCAGCCTATGTAAACCCTCTCCATATAAATAATACACAGGCAAATAATACAAATGTATATGGAAAATTGTTATAATTATGACTTAAAAAAGCCAAGCAATTGGTGCTCGCTCGTAGTACGTGGCAAACTTTATCAGTTAAATATACATGATCCCGGATTATTATTTTTTTCTCGGCGATCTCACAGACGTGAAACCGACACATACATGTAAATATATACATTTTCATCAAATGGATACATATAGCACCAGGGTAGTAGCTCTTGTTGTATTTAGTTTATTAGAAATGTTGTTATTCGGTGGAATACAACTTGGATGGTTCGCCTTTGTGTTCATCCTCGAGCAAGAGGGTGTGTTCGAAAGTCTGTGTGTACTGGAAGAAAGCATTCCAAACTATAATGTCCACTCCAGTAAAGTGATCTACGAAAAACAAATTGTTTCTCCCAGGATGAACAATTTAACTTGATATTCAGCATTGGAGTTGCTGTGTCGTCATCAGTAGCGTTTCCTAGTGGACAACTTCACTTGACCTTTGGCATCAAAAGGATACGAATATTGAACATGTAAGTAAGTCACTTGATAAACGAGATACGTTTGGTGTAAAGATGTGATGTAAACAAGTGAGTGTGATGTTACTACCTAGTGCACTGCTACAGTATATTGTGCATGTTGCTAGATAACAGTACCAAACTTATGGTGCTGAAATAACAAGCTGTCCAAGTACGTCCAAGAAATGACACATTACTTTATAATTATATCACTAGTTTTTACCTGAACTCGTCTTTTTTGATTATGCATTATTTTTTAATGATATGTTAGAAGTAAATGCTAGTTGCTGATTTTCAACCGAACCCACGTTTTCAATAGTATTCAAATATTCGCTATTTTCGTTCTAGTAGGGTAACATTTCTATGCCATATTTATATCTGTTTGTAAAGGAAAAAAACTCGTACTCCCGATGTCGAATGCTCTAAAGACGATACGTCCTATAAACAGCTGGGGTCATTTATGGACGTGCCTCCATGTGTTTGGAATGTGTGTATGCGTGCCGGAGTTAGGTTATGTTGATGTAGCCTCCTTGTGATAGCGCAGATCTCATGCCGACTTTAAAGTGCTATTTCACTGAAAAGACACCCACGGCTGGTACATGTACGGGGGGGGGGGGGATTGATCTTATGACTCATTGTCGACCGAATATACAGAAACCCGAATACACTAGTCTTGTTCAATCAAATGCTTAATCACTGCGTAAACAAAAAGAGTCTGGTTGAACGAGACTAGTGTATTCGGGTTTCTGCATAAACGACCATGTGGAATTGCGATAAATTCGGTCGACAATGAGTATATACGTTATCAGTTATATACCGAACTAGGAAGAATCAATGGGCTCCGTCCCCAGGCCGGGACATACCAAAGTCCTTAAAAATGGTAGTTGTTATTCCCTGCTTAGCGTTCAGCATAAAGGGGTAATGACAACAACTGATTCACCCTTTGTCAATATAATGTGACCGGGCGAAACGCTTGCTAGGTGCCTTCGGCATGGTATTTCAGTAAGATAACACTTTACAGTCGGCATCAGATTCGCGCCATCACAAGTAGGCAAATACACAAACATATCCTGTCTTCGGCACACATGCACTATCCAGGCATAGCTTACCACATGGAGAGGAACGTCCTTAAATGACCTTATACGTTGATTAGACCTTAACTATCAATAAATAACCAATAAATAATAATATTAATAACAATAGGTCACGCACTTATTAAATTATAATAATTATGTTTCACGACTCACCCCTACAGGTCGGAAATCGAGAAAAAATACACATGCTGTTACCACCTGCATACATCGTTAATTGCGACTAGTGTGGGAACGCCCTGCAGAATGGGAGATTTGCGTTTGTGTCCTCTTCTAGTCTGCAAATAAGAAATTTCAAATTAATTCGACAACTGGTTTATAAGATATGGCATAACAAAAGAGAGATAAGCCCACATTTTCATAATTAAATGCGTGAATATCGTTTTTTTGTGCGCCTTTTGGTTGAAAATTAGCCATTTTGAAGGAAATTAAATAAAAACTCTTCAATATTTGAAAGCCTTGCGGAGGCCTTTCATTTCTGCTTGCTCACTGTCCGAAACAACATAATTATGTCGGCTATTTCTGCATATCAACGCGATTTTATTGCTATGGTAAGATATCTACGCATGCGCATTGGAATAAATATGTACCAAACACGATAGCCCCAATTAACCATATGATGTTTATAACAGAAATTAGTTATTTACTTTTAATGATGGCCAAAATAACCCTTAACGCCCCCAGTCCTTTACATTGACTTTACTTTGGCTCGACTTTTACAGTTATCGTTTCTAGCTCTAATTTTCCGGATGTGGCTGATTATTTTATATCATTAATTCAGTAATGCAATATCTATGTTAAATGAATATCGATTAAACGGGGAGATGTTTGTAGTTAGAAAATGAAAGTTGATATAAAGTTGTATTAATTTACCTTTGTCTATGTTGATATACAGGGCTATGGCTGTTGCTGGAATTGTGTGCTTCTGTTTCACTTCACAAGGTATTTCACAGTCAACAATTTGTAAACATTGTTAAACATAATGATTACCTTTGATATTATAAGAGATATATAGATTCATATAATACCTTTTAAATGCATGTGATATCATTTAAAGTATTTTACGGTAATGACATTGTTCTTATTTATTTATTTGCTTACTTATTTATTTACATTTATATATTTTATAAGGAAGGTATATAAATGTGTTAGTGTTTTCTTTTCTCAACTGTTTCACGTGTTTTGTTCGGTTCCTGTTGTCTGGTGGTATCGAATGTTAGTTACTCTTTGTTGATTTTGTTAACGCTCTTGTATACAAAATGTTATGTACTTGGCATTAGTTCAGAGAATACGAACACTATGTTTAATAGCATAGATAACACTTGGCTTCCTCTCCCTGGAATAATACTTGTGGGCGTGGCTGGTCAGGCTCTGATGATATCTAATTATATACAGGTAATGCGCGTGAATACAATTAAAACTAGTGTGTCAAGTAACAATAGATATATTTGCGCTTATTCAAAGGATGCATATTTAATATGTACAAAATACTTGCTCATCAATAAATACTTACAACTTCATTGTAACTATGTGTTGTTTTCATTTATTTGTTTGGATTATGTGCTATAGTTTTATTTACTTTTGCAACAAAAAAACACACACTTTGCACAGCTTGACACCACATCGGATTATTCAACTGAGCAGGTTTGTCGGGGACTCAAATTATTCATTTATGATGAAAGCTTATTATTCATATATATTCAATTAACATGTTTATTTATTAAATTAAACATTACTGAACATGTGCTGCCATTACTACTGCGAGGTTCCTCCATTAACATCGGTCTAATCAATATTTGTCTGGTCCCGTCTGTTTTGACAATGATGGTAGTTAAGGTATGTACTTAAAGTCATAATTTTGTTTTAAAATTTTGAGCATTTGAACTTAGAAATTCTGATTTATTTACTTGTCTAGACAAATTTAGCTAGGTTGACTGATTTTAGGTAAGGCCTGTTAGACCTCCTAATGCATCAACCAGACTGAATGCTTCATACTTACATTAAGCATACATGTATACATGTGTTATATTCATTTAGTAAGATTCGTTTACATAAACATCCCCCTATTCGCTGCACCTTTCCGTGATGGGTGGGATTGAGATCCTCAATGACCTGGACAGCTATGCTGGCTGGGGCTTTGTGCTCCTTGTAGGTCATCCAAGCCAGACAGTTTGAAAAGTAGAGGTCAGACCCAGCAGTACCGTTCTTTGGCCAGGACGCAAATGCTAGGTTTGCAACGTTGTGCATTCCTTCCTGGGGGTTTGGTTTACAGATGTCCGCTTTCGGGCCAACCCTTTGGGCATTCCTCTGGAATGGTCGGGCCCTGGTAAATCCTCAGAGTCCCATGTATATAGTGTAGATTTTGTTTCTGTTCTTTCTCTTTTCTTTTCTTCCTTTTTGGTCTTTCTCCTTTTTCACACCTTTAAAATTTGATTTAGCATTTGTTTTTGTCGACCATTTGTTGGCCCTAGTGATCTTTCCTGTGTTGTTGGGCCGTTAAGCATCGATGATAATAATAAAATTACATAAACATGCTATGCATTAGGACTAGACTAGGCGCCTACCAGGAAAGCAGTAGTTACTATAATAAGATTACTATACCTTTCACAATTGATGCATTAAGCATACACATAATCAAGACACGTTGATGCATTAGGGGGTCTAACAAAGCCCCAATGTATAGCTATATAGTAGACAAACATTTCTGAAAGGACGTAGCAAATCACAAAGGGTCTTTTCTATCTACTACAAAAAGAAATAAACCGCATGTGTTATGGCCACACGAAAAGCGAATAAGTAGAAAAACATAAACTTTATTCATGACTTAGCATAACCCTGAAATAAAAAACAATAACACTTAGTGTAAAATAACATAAACAATATTCACGGGTTAGAATACCCTGATCTAGAAAAAAACCAATACACTTGTGGCATTGTCTAATTTAATATTTTGAAATTATATTTCCAATTGTTGAAGTGTTGCAGCTTTAATCAATTCTCAGCAAATGTCAATCCGTTGTACATTCTATTTTCAGAAGTTGCATGAAGATGGAGTCAATAAGAAATTCTCTTATACCTCTCTTTGTTATGCCATATCTCCTATACCAGTTGTCAGATGAATTTGAAATTTCATATTGACGAACTTCATCTATTCCAAAATACGTATATAACAACTTATTTCAAATCCATGATGAAGCACGAAATTACCCTTAACGGCCCTAGTCCTTTCGAGAGTCTTGTTTGTCGTGTACTGAACCAACTTCAAGTCCTCCTTTGCTTTATCCGTAGCCTCTTTTAAGGATTCGTGTCCTTGTTTATTTCCGTGAGTCTTATGTTTATCCTTTTCCATACTGCGTTTTGTCTTTGCATTATAATCAGTTACGTTCCTTTGTAGAAGTGCGCAAATACCTGACACCACAACAAACAAGATGGCTAAACCAATAAAAAGAGGACACTGAACGTCAGGCGGGTTTTAACATCTACCATTTTTAAGGACTTTGATATGTCCCGGTATGGGGACAGACGTCATTGCCTTCCACTCCTAAGTGAACGCTCAGCACTAACACCAAAGATAGAATGCCAAGCAAGACACTAGGAAACAGAACCTAGTAAAACTAGAGAGAAGAAGAAAGATCCCAAATGCTGAAATGGGTGCAACAGATTATTAACTAAGATCATTTCGCCGGATAAAAAATACTTGCGTAAATACAGGGGTTTCGGGTGACATATTTTAGGTTATCATTCCATTTTATTCGCGTTTTCATTCAATTCCGTTCTCAAGACTTACCTCGTTTCGTCTCCGTAGTTGACTTTTTCCTTTTTTCCCGTTCTGTTTCGTTTCATTTTTAGCCCCTTCAACCCTAATCGTTTCATTTTGCTCCGTTCCCTCTCCGATTCGAATTTTCGTTTTGTTCCAGTCGACCTCGTTCCGTGTCATCGAAGAGGCGTTTATATTGGTGTAAAATAAAATGTTTTATAAGGTTTATCGAGTTTACCACAATCGCAAGCACATTATATGTTTACGAGCATGTCGGAATTAATAAGCCTTCAACTGTTGGTAATCGCAATATGTATATGCGGTTATCAGTGTGCTATGACCCACAACAGTATAGCTACCTACACCAAACCCCTATTGCAACCAGATTAAGTTTTTAACCTTTAACCTCTGACCTTCAAACTCCTAGACATAACTAAGTAATCTTCAGTGACGGGCTGACGCAATCTGGAAGCTTGAAGTGACATCCGGAACTTGAATCTACAATTTTATATTATTACTTTTTATTTGGGAAACCTTTTGCATATACGTTGAAAGATAAATGTTATTTGTTTATTAAATAAACAATAAATAAGATACCGAATTATTCCGTAATATAATATTTCCATGTATTTCCAGTCAGTTGTATTTAGACAGGATGGGCATAGCTCATTGATGTATTTTATGTAAAGTTGATAATGAAATCGTCGGCTTTCAATCACAAAGTTGGAATTCTAACCGACATAAAACCACAACAAGAATTCAGTGGTGCTATCGCTAATTGCTATAAGCGGTATGACCGCCTAGATCAGCATTGTCCAATTATAAATAAGTTCATTTGTAGTTGCACGTTCAACAACCTATATATATTTTAATAAATTACATTGACGTGGCAGCATAAAAAAATATTGCAGTCAACACATAAAAACAAAACGAAGTTTGTATTGATAAAACATGGAACTTTATTAGGTACATGTACGTGTTTTTCCGTTTAACATAGATAGTTTATGAGAACTCGACATTCACTATGTTGTATGCGAAAAACCTCTTCTTCTTCTTTTTTTTTTTTTTTTTTTTGCTTTTTATATAATCGTGTCTTACGTATGGGAGTTTTCGATTGAACTTTACTTCAAGGGCGGCGTATTTCACATATTATTCCAGCCTCCAAACTTCTTACATAATCATGCCAGCGCCACTCATGCCAGGCTTCCATGCCAATACAAGGTTGTCCATAGTCCGGTTGACCTATGGCCCAGTTCGTGTATGTTAGGTCCATGCCAGAGCTCCCGAGCTTCAACGCAGATCCTTCTCTTTCGAAGTACACATCAAAATGAACCCCTTCGATGTTTTGTCTCACTGATAAATAAATGAACAGAGGATATATTATAAACAAATAAAAACACACATTCCCATATAAACCTTTCTGCTCTCTTTTTGAAATACTCTATGGTTGTTATAAATATTTTGGGATTTAATTCTGCTATATTCACGGTCATCAATGATAACGAAAAATTAAATACCCATCGAATATCATTATCGTGAATCATAACTGCAATAACTATATACAGGCGCACCAGACTTGCGGAAACATTCCTCTGCGAATCAACAACGCAGCAAGAGTTTCCAGATATTGGTTGGTTGTACAAGGTTTAACGTCCTATAAACAGCTAGGGTTATATGAGTACGTGCCTCCATGTGAGTTGTGTATGTATGTATGGGTGTATGTTGGATGGAGACTGGGTATGTTGGAGCATTTGCTATCTTGTGATAGCGCGGATCTGATGTCAACTTTATAGTGCTATCTTACTGAAATACCATGCCCGAGCTACCTGACACAGCATTCCGCCCGGTCACCAGATTTAAACATTCTTATGTAGTCTACTTTGAGAATTTAAAATATCAGAGTGTCGATGATCAGCCAATTATATACAGAAACTGAACGGGAGGATTACAACAATATAGGTCATCAGCTCACATTAACGAGCATGTTACAGACAAAGTGGACGTTTCTGTTTTTCCTGACAAAATTTCGAAAATACAATACGCGCATTCAAAACTCTATACAGTACATACATACTTGTTTATTTTACGAAATACCTATTGGTTGATGTTTTATGTATCTAATCGTTTAAATTGATTGCTTGGAGCTGAATCACAAGGTTTTACTAACGAGATTTGAATATATAATTATATACATCATTAACATATACATTGCTTTTTAAATACAATCATAACTATACTGTCCTTGGTATTTTAAAATATAAATACATAAAGATATTCTGGAAAGAAATATCTAGAATGCAATTATGGATTGAAATATAGTTTGCATTTAATATGAAACCGTTTAGAAATATTCGCTTAAATTAATATTTTTAATAGTAATTCATGTCACTTAGAGCATTAATATGAGTTATAAGATCAATAAAACAAAACAAAAACAAAAGTAAAATATTTGTCATCTTTCACTAATATGGGTAATGATATAACTTAAAAGATGATGAATTTAACAAAACAACTTTGAAATATTTTTCATGCTAAACTGATATTTGACTTTCGATGGCCCAAACAAGAAAGAAATTTAAAAATAAAAAGGAAGAGTGGTAGCGATTTGTCATGTTGAAATATGTTTGGGTGAAATTTTAAATTAATATTATATAGGACTACGTCATATTATATAGGAGTAGTTAAATTACACAATATAGAAATATTCACATAACCAGTTTGTATATAGGTACATTTAAAATATGACTACTGCATACTATTATACATGTACATAAATATATAAAATTAATAAATTACGTTGAATTGTTTTACATAAGACGCAAAAACGTACATGTAAAATATAAATTACTTACCACATAAGTCACGTGCCCAGTCCTGTTTCATCTGGCTATCCACGACCAATAGGCGAGCAGACAAGCTGGAACAAATAGTGGCAGCTTCACCACACGGTTTTCTTTCCGGGGAAATGGCGTAACACACGTCAGCAATCCGGTTGTGAGTGAAATTTTCCGTTGGGCAGAAATCTATTCAAGAAGAAATGCATAGAGAACAACAAGTACACTGCGCATTGAAATAGCAGGACAACATATGCTACAGACTCAACACATAAACATGTAATAGAAAAGGACACCACAGTATCAATACACGAAAACAACATATATTTATTCGTAAAGAAAAACTTACCACAGCCTCAGTTGTCAAAAGCTAAAAAAAGAATGACTTCATAATACAGAGACAAACAAATCACAGCATCAACATAATTATCATATCAAATAACAGCGTCAAAAACAACCGAACAACAGAATACCGGAGTGACAACAAAACCAAAAACTGGATATCAAAATCGATACAACTTGGTCAGAATATGGACAAAGGAACGACTTACAGAAGATCATTGAAAAAAACACAAGGAAAAGAAAATGAGGTTGTCCGGAAGTGTTGTTTTTCCATGCTAAAAGTTCAGAATTTAGGGGAATGGAAACAGCTGGTTAACCCGTTGTCAGTATAATGTGACCGGGCGGAATGCTGCGCTTGGTGCCTTCAGCTTGGTATTTCAGTGTAGTAGCACTATACAGTTGGCATCATCTTAAATGACCTAAGCTGTTAATAGGACGTTGAACAAAATAGAACAAAACCAAATCATATCACACAAAGGAATGGATTATCTCCTTGCAACATCCTGAAGTTACAAGATACGTACAATTAAAAGATACATATTGTTACAAACTAAATATGCCTCAGTGTCAACACACAAGGATGAGTAAAGTTTAGTAGAACAGTGTCAAGATATAAGGATCAAAATAGTAACACAACGTCGAAAGAAAGGGAGAGAATATGCCGCCGTAGTGACATATAAATTAAATATAGATATAATAGATTTAAGTAGATCAGATACAATAACGTCTGTTAACAGAGAAAAAATACATATACAGCATTTGGTTGGTTTGGTTTAATTTTATTTAACGTCAAATCAACAGCTAAGGTCATTTAAGGACGTGCCTCTATGTGTGTTGTGTATGCGTGCTTGCGTGATTGTAGGAAGGAGATCATGTATGTTGGTGTGCTTGCCTCCATGTGATAGCGGGGATATGATGTCGACTTTATAGTGCTATCTCACTGAAATACCACACCGCAGGCATAGCATTCCATACGGTCACATTATACTGACAATGGGTGAACCATTTGTTACCATTTCCCTAAATGCTGAACGTTAAGAAGGGAATAACAACTACCATTTTTAAGGACTTTGGTATGTCCCGGCCTTTCTCACATGGGCGAAACATATATAACATGTTCCGGATATAAGATATACCACAACTTAAACATCTTAATACAAACTATACCACAGCGTCAACAAAGACAACACAGCCTCAGCACCAACAGACAAATAGTTTAAATAGTAGTATGCTAAAATGGCGTCAACATACAATAAAAAAATAACGTCAACATTTAATCATTAAACTTACCACGGCGTTAACAAGAATTGACAATAAATAAAGTGTAGGTATAAACAAAAAATACGTTTCATGAGATAATGCACATATTCATTTCATAAGGTCCATACTTAAATATTTTGTAAATATTTTTGTCACAGCGACCCTATATACATACGTACATGTTAATGCGAAAAAAATCCTTACAAGTAAATAATACGTTACACAACCTTACATATTTCGAAAAGACCTGCTTTTCAGTACAGGATGTGCTTTAAGTTAAATGTGGTCCTTTTTCATCAATTCAAATAAAATTGCTCGCATCAGATAAGACAAATTAAAATTTCTACCTTAAGGTGCTTATCATCACCGATAAATTTGGCAAATAACGGAACATTTGTTTGGTGTAGTGTTATTTAATTTGCCTTATTGTATCAGTATCAAATACCAAACTTTAAAGTTGCAGTCACATGCATATGTGTCTCACATCCATCTTTCAGGATACAGGGTGATAAAGTCTGTCCTGATACCAACGTTTTGGCGCAACCTTTAATGACCACTGCTATCTCTTCTGAGAGGGTACAGAGGTCATAACATAAATACGTTATCCATTCGTAATTTGAAATGTTCAACATTCCTCCTCTAATTTTTTGAAATTTACATAATTAAGAGAGCTTTAGCATCTCCCTTTGGTTTCTACAGTAGTTCTGTCCAATTAGGCATTTTTGTTCCTAACATCACCAATGTGTCCTTGAAGGCCAAAGGAGCTGTATTGTGCATTGTCATTCAGTTTTGGCATACTCTATCAATAACCAAATTCTATAGATGCAATTCTATCTTTTCCGTTACGTTACATGTAATTCATACAGGCATGGACCCGGGCAAAATTTTGTAAGTTATGTGAAAGTTATTGAATATGTTCGCTGGCATGCTGATACATGGAATTCGGTTGGTGTCAAACAGCATTAAAGTTAGGTCAAAACTGAAATATTACAAGGGTTTACACAGTTTTGATACAAGTCTTTTCCAATATCTGGCAATACAATATAGATGTATACAGTCCAACTTTTGCCCTTCGACAATAAAATCATTGTTTATCCAGTGTTAATTTCGCCCTTCACATTACACTACCATATGTATGTTGATTTACGTATGTTCGCTGTAATGATAATTTTGCCCTAATCACGGAGGTCCAAAACCGACATGCCATTTTAATATATGTTGCTAAACAGGAATAATAAAATAAAATCTGCAAATAAGCTTGATATTTGCATTGCAATACAAAAAAGATATAATTTATGTGGAAAATTAACGAAATATATATATCTTACTGGGCTTTTCTGAGTTATCTCGAGTTTATGAACGACATTCTTTGAGGCAATCATGATAGAGAATACCCATATCTTAACATACTTGCTCTCTCTAAATAAACCCGTACAGGTTCGGCGAAAGAATTGGTCTGATATATCCCACTGTATGTGTATCGTTAAAGGCGACTAATGTAGGGTACCCTGCATAATTAGGAGTTTTGCTTCTGTGTTTTCGACTAAGGGGCCTTGAAGAGACCATAATTGATCTGCTGTCCCCAGTGCAACTGTATCGTTCCTGTCTTCCTTTTTTTCTTTAATGACTTTCTATTTCAGGCGGTGTCTTCCCAGTCCGTCCTCATATGGCACTGACTGTTGCGAGGACAATACAACTTGCAAATATATTTCACTGTTAGCAACACACTGTCTAGAACATGTACTACACATGTTATTGTAGTTGCCATGTAAGTGCTGAATTTTACCAACGTCTCCGACAGAAACATGTATCAAAGTGAGTCTATCATTAAATTCGAAGAATGCAGAAATATTCCCTTTTTGACACCCTTGAGTAAAATGTTCATATCTCCTATAGGGTAAAATCTGTACATTAATTTAAAACGTATCTTACCTTCCCGAATTGAAAAATATTTCCATCCATTTTCAGGGACACCATCGGAACCGGAAATAAGAACTCTGTACAGCCGACATCTCTTCTGGTTACTATGGTAACCAACCGATTCGCAGTTTACATCAGTCAGGCAATCCGACATACAGTTAAGTTTCCGATAGTTCATTTTTTCTACGACTAAGTCTGTGTCAATTCTTCTGTTGGCAATAACAGACTTCAATGATGTGAATGTTGCCATTTTCATTGAATCGGCATCAACAGGACACAAATTAATTTGGAAAATAATCAGAATGGCGATTGCTAAAGATGTGAAGCTATTCCCGTAACATTTACCTGCTATAGACATAGTTAATTTACACGTAAAGTATATACCTCTGCTAAATGTCCGAGGCTGTTCAGGCGTTTTGACCAAACTAGATGACTATGTACGTATCTACTTATCTAAGATGAATATCCTAGTCCGATGAAGACTTTTAAACAAAACGATGATGTAGTGGCATGTGTCCCCTAGATATCCTACTCCACCTGAATCCTTGATATTTGTAAAATTTGCCGTCTTTTATAAACAATTTCATGTAAAAGGAATATCAAAGTAGATATTGTCAGAAAATCTATAATTTGGATTGGACCAGGAAGATAATTACCATATTCATTATTACTCATTTGTTCAGTTAATTGGTTGCACAGAGTAAACCAATTCTAATATTAGTCATCTTTATTTCCATGTAATTGGCGTGTCTAGTGAATTAAGGTGTGTTAATATCAGGCATGTAAATACATTAATGAAGTATAAAGCACACAAATTCATTTATCATAGTGATGTTAATAAATGCATGGAAACGCCCGGGTCCGAGTTCAGCACGTGCCGCATTACAGGCACGTGCGATAGGTGAGTTTAGGACAGTGATGACACGTACAGGTGTCTGTGTATGCCTAGCAATGGAACAATACGGACTTTCCCACCCACCCGCCCCTTTTCGGAAATGCATGTTTCTGTGTCTTTCATTTTGTGATTGCAGAATCTGTAATGGTCGAGCACAATATGGATGATCTTAACAGTTCAAAAGTTCGAGACTCGCTGTTTGAAATTTCGATTTAATATTGAATAAAGTGAATAAATTTACGTCCTCGTTTATCTAGGCGGACGAACTCCCAGTAATGAGTTTGAGTTTATATGATAAATAATTTATGTTCGTTTAGAGGAGCGAACTAGAACATAACAAAAGTTACAGACGGTGTGCTTAATTGCGTTATTTCGACCTCCGATGTCAAAGGCAACTGGTGTAGATCCTTCAAAGAGAGTTTTTTTTTAAAGAATTGTACAAAAAAACTTTCATTTCAAGGAGCTCTTGACGAACGTATTGAACATTCATGTCAAATTCAGTGTTAAATATTTGCATGTTTAATACTAATGCAACTCAAAAACAGTTCCGGCGGATCTATCCTAGGAATATCAACACTGTTATGTGAAACAAAGGGTAGCCTTTCAAAATACATTGTACAGGTATTTGTTTGTATAAAACAGTATTATTCTTCGCATAGAATGATTTCGAAATCTGTTACAAACAAACTAAAATTTGTTAAACACAATTTTTTCCAAGATTTGTTTAATACAAAATATCCAAAATAACACTTCATTGTTAATTTAATTTCAATACACAATAAACAAACAGTCACATCAAGGTCACACAAATCAGCAGGCGAAATACCACGTCAAACACTATGTAAACATATTGATAAGCATACGACATCTACATACAAATTTGTTTACAAATCGGCATCAAAATAACATACAAATCAGCATGGGAGACTACCTTCAAATCAATTCACTTTACCGAACCGAAGTAATCATCATGTAAAACAGCATATAAAGGAGAATCAGACGAAATAGTATATTAAACAGAAGAAAGAACACATTAATCAGTGTACACATTCACGCGCTCCATAGAATATTCCTTGCCAGCTGCGTTGATACTGCGTATACGTCGTAAGAGTAAGTGTCAATCCTTGTATTTACACCCGAAATGCTGCAAGAAGGAAATATATGATGTATGACGGTAGCCGTTAGGATAACAAAGCTCCAATGGAGTAACAATGCTATATAAAGTAATGTAAAAATTGTATACTAAACAACATTACGCCAGTAATCCAAACACAGTAAATACTTTTTGAGAATATTTAGTATAGCTATGTTTTAAGGACGGCGGATTTCACATATTATCCCAGTCTTCGTAGAACTTGAATAATCATGCCAATGCCATCCGCTTTTGGCTTTAATGCCAATACAATCGCCATTGTATTCTGGTTGATCAGAGTCCCAATACGTGTACGTAGGTGCCATGCCAGTACTCCAAAGTTTCCATGCATGTCCGCTACTGTCCAGGTACGCGTCAAGGCACGTCCCGTCTATGTTATTGCTCACTGATAAAGAAAAGAATCCTATTATTCAGGTATAACAGGTGTTTAAATGTGTAAGTTTTTTCTTTTAATTTATTATTTGGAATGAACTACATCGAATGAAATATCCAGCAAGAGTGTCTGCACATATATACAGCATTAGTTATTTATATTTGGTCAGCAGGAAATTTTACAACAATCAGTCTTGTTGTCTGGATTGCTAGCGCGCGGGGTTCTTAATAAGGGAGGAAACCGGAGAACCTGGAGAAAACCGACTTGATCGGGCAGGTGACCCCATTCTTTTTCACGTCCTATCGGGAAACGAAACCCGGCCGTCTTGTTGAAAGGCAAGTGTGCTATCCACTGCGCCACCCTACCATCCCATGTGCACAGAACGGTTTAGATTAAAACATGCGAATTATTAAACTTTTGAAGCCTTTTGTTTTTTTCTCGTATACATATATTCATTTTTGAAATATGAATGAGGTTTATAATACAAATGTAGATTTAAGTATATTTCATAAAATTGTTTGAAGCTGGTTATGAATTTATAATGGAAAGATGGGTATTTTAAAACAATAAATCCAAGTAATAGTCCACATTATAATTTCCGGCCTCATTGGCGATTTAGAACTAGTTGTTATAATCGTTATCTGGAATAAATGAAGTACGCAAATTTTGAATTCCAAATTTCATTCGACAATTGGTTTAAGAGATATAGCATTACAAAGAGAGACATAAACCCGCATTATTTTAACAAAATGCGGGAATATCGTCTTTTGTGCGCTATGTGGCATTTTGAAGGAAATGAAACTAAAACACTCTTCACTTTTTGGAAGCCCCCGTATGCAACAAACAAATAACTATTTGACATGCTTAAACATTGTCATACCAGTGTTTATTCCCAGAAAGGATGTATTGTTTGTCACATGAGGAGGCTTTCATTTCTGCATGCTTACAGTCCAAAAACACCGTATTTTTGCTATTCTGCATAGCAACGCAATTTTGTTGCTATGGTAGGGCATCTACGCATGCGCATTGGACAACATATGCACCAAGAAAGATAGCACAAATTAATTAATATTATGTGTATAACAGAAGAAATTGTTCGAAAAAAATTGAAATATTTACTTTATATGATGCCAAAAATGACCCATAACGCGTCATCCTTTATGTGTAATATATCATGTATAATACGAGACAAAAGGCATATATGACCGGTATAGGTAACTTGTTTTTTTATTTTGTAAATATCACCGCTTAAAGAAGTTTTGCTCTTTTCATAATCAATAAAAAAAAGGTGATTTCAAGATTAAAAGGACCAAACTACTTCATTTGCAAATAGGGTTGTGTTCTCAAACATGTTTTGGCCACGGACTTTGTCCCCAGGATATGACAGAAGCATGGGGACAATCATGGTAGCATGCATTTATTTTCGAATGCTTAGCAAATGCAGATATGTTATACATTTAAGATCTCGAATATTACCATGTCAAAAGTCATGACCTTAGCTTTCTTTCGCAGGACCAGACCCTTTAGCCTGTCATGGTAACATATATGTATTCGTCTTTTCATGTCAAGCAATTGGTCATGTATATATGGTTATGGGGTTTTGTTTGCAAAGGAGCAATGCTAGTAGCATTTGAATGTCCGTCTCTTCATGTAAGAAACGCATACAAGTGATAATATTATGGGGATCTCGATCGTTGTAGGAACAGCAGTTATATACTCCTAATTCCGATATTATGACTAATGATGCTTAAGACCAAATCTGGTAAATATAATCCCTACTCTTGTACTAAAGAAATAGAAATTTAAAGATTAACTTTTATTTTTACAATAGTGTTTTGGCCCTCTGCTTCCAGGAGGCAACATGCAACATTTATACAACGTATGGTCACGTTGGTTAGATGTTGCTCCATCCGAAATATGGTTAATTCCTAACTTTTACTAAATGCAGTGGGTTTTAATTTTTTTTGGTCATAATAGCAAAACGATGCAAGTAAATTGCCACATTTCCAGTTATTATGAATAAGCAGCACTTCCAATGGCATGGCAAAGCCTCACGTGCATGCCCTTCGGAGCGTTGGGCTACTAAACCATATTTTGTTTTAAAACTACTCAAGAATATAAGCTGAAGCGGTTTATAACTAAAGCATATAGCATCCATGCAGAACTACAAATTAACTAGTTTTTATCCCGTTAATTATAATCTGTATTTACCGCACAAGTCCATTGCCAAGTATTGTTTAGCCTGGCTGTCTACGGTAAGTAGTCTCGCAGATAAGCTTGAACATACAGTAGCAGCTTCAGCACATGCTTCTGTTCCAGGGGGCGTGGCGTAACATACGTCAACAATCCGGTTGTGATTGAATTTTTCCATCCGACAGAAATCTATTGGATCAGGAAATAATGAAATGCAGTTGATAGTATAAACACAATAGGACGACAAATTCATTACAGTGTCAACACTTCAGGACAAAACGCACAATATTGCAGCACCAGCACTAACATACTTAATTATGACAAGGTAATAACAGCCGAGGCAATATATATTACAGGGTCAACTGGAAAAATCAATAAATACCTTTTTTCACCTAGCGCCTTGCTTTTGGAATTAATGTTGAACGTTCGCCAAGGTAAGGAAGGCCATGGGTTCTGTACACATGCCGGGACATTCCAATTTTTTTTAAAAACGGTTGTTGTTATTCTCTGATTATTGTTCAGCATTTAGGGAAATGGCAACAACTAGTTAACCCGTTGTCAGTTTAATGTAACCGGGCGGAATGCTGCGCTTGGTATTTCAGTGAAGTAGCACTATACAGTCGGAATCAGATCCGCGTTATCTTAAATGACCTTAGCTGTTTATAGGACGTTTAACAAAATAAAACAAAACCAAAACATATCACACAAAGGAATGGAATATCTCCTTGCAATATCCTGATGTTAAAAGATACGTACAATTACAAGATACATGTTATTACAAAATAAATATACCTCAGCGTCAACACACAAGGACGAGTACAGTTTAGTAGAACAGTGTCAAGATATAAGGATCAAAATAGTAACACAACGTCGAAAGAAAGGGAGAGAACATGCCACCGTAGTGACACAAATGTATC